CTAATCCACCTCTCCCATCGGGTGAGGTTGTGGAGTTTCGAGGAGCTTCGTTTTTCTGAAGAGGCCAATAACTTTGAATAAGGCCACCTCTTCAGAAAAACGAAACTCCTCGAAAGAGTGACGAACGCGCCCTAGTTCTTGCGACTTTTTATCATTTAGAAAACAAAAGCGATCCTGTCAGCTTTTCTATTATTGTGTTCACATGGCGCTACCTATTATTATAAACGACACCGCTATTCAGACACTTTGTCTACGTAGCTACGTAAGTTTCTACGTAAGATGCTCGGTACCTGGTCCTGGACCAGGGAGCTACTCCATGGCTCCTACCATCGCGCGGCCGGCTGGCCGCATGCGTGTGCATTGCAGACTTTTTGTTGTTGCCTTTTCGGATGTGCATGCACGACGAACTTCCTTCTTTGGAACTGCTTCTTGCATGAGCTGTTTCGGATATTTCGTCTCCTGGCCTGGCTTATTTCGTTTCGGCGCTGCTGAGACCTCCTTTCGCGGAATATTACTCAATGACAGGTGAGTTGACCAGTTCACTTTGATTCATTTGCTTGTGTCGACTCTTTCATTTACGAAAAGTGTGCTGATTTTGGGCGGAATGAAATAAATAATGGAAAAGCTGACAGGATCTCCTTTCTAAATTTAGCTTTTCCGCTGCCGAAGCCTCCTTTTACGGAATACTCAATGACAGGTGATCTCTGAGTTGACCAGTTTCCTTCGATTCATTTGCTTATGCTCACCCTTTCATTTACGGAAACGTGTGCTGATTTTATTCGGATTTAGATCCATTTTTTATCTCTTTGCCCTTGCCTACAGTGTGCGAAGTACGCGAGTTCACCTTCTTGACAGTAAGGCTTATGTTAGATGTGTTGTCGAAATACTCATATCCATTGCACATTATTACGTTACAAGTAAGGCTGGTCAGTGGCATATTAGAGAGGTTCTGCTACACGGAACTACGTACTAAATTCCGTGTCAACTGCAGTGAAGTTTGACACGGATTTTTCCTACGTTGCACCGGTTCTGCTGCACGTAGCATGCTCGAAGCATGCACGAACACCCCGCCACATGTACTCTGTACGCTCACTTTTCACACGGAGTCCAGTCCGTGTGAAGCGAGCTTCACACGGAAAACGGTATGAAAAAATCCGTATCAAACTAAATCCCGTACCGCGGCGAAGTTTCCATACGTACTTTGGCACGTTATACCGTGTGGCAGAACCTCACTACTATCGTTGGCAGTTCCCAATCTGGAGGGAAAGGTTCAAGGACTCATTGACCGAGTTTGCCAAATAAATTCGCATATCAAGGAAAATCTCCATTGTGGAGAGGTTCAGTAACTTGTTTGCTTCATACGAAACGAGAAAATGGGTGCAGTCTCGTGAAAATCTCGTACTTGTATGATTGCATTTGTTTACTCGAGTCTGGGCTGTTTGATTTGTGAGTACCGCCGAGATTGCACTGCCCCAAATCAAGTTTCGTGCCGCTAATGCAAGAATTACGATCTGCAATCTGTTTGTAGTACCTGTAGTACCTGCAAGAATGTGCAGTCCGTGTATCGTACTTTCTCTGTTGCTGTTTCAGTTGCTGTCATGTTGCTAAAGAAAGGTTCAGTAGAGAGGTTCTGCAAAACGAAAATTCGAACGAAGTTTCGCGACAGTCCTTGCGAAAGTGTGTACGAATTTTTGCACGAACTTTGCGTTCTGCACATTTTCGTAGTTTGCGCGGGCCAAGTGCACGTACGCCATGACCCGATCTCACGAAATTTCCTACCACAGTTCATTTCGTGTTCCCTGCAAGTTTCGCTTCCAAAGTTGCGAAAGTTCGTGCGAAGTTTCGCACCTCCTGATGTAGAGGGAAAGTTTGTACGCATTTTCGTTTTGCAGAACCTCTCTAGTGACTCTTTTGTTTGATAGGAGACAAGTCAATGAGTCGGTGTGGCTTAGAATCTTTCGCTGTAGAATAAATCTATTCGTATGTCTATTTGAGAAATAATTGTATTCACTGGTTATAAAATAGGTTAAGACAAACTCACAGAATAAATACCATCGGTCCCTTGGTGTTCGTCCTAAAGAGGTTCGACTGTATATCATTCATACTCACCAAAAGATGTGTAAGATTTTATTATCATGGAGTGCCTTGTTTATCTCTCAGTATCAGTACCTCCAACCATAGCCTTGACCCTTTTATCCTCAGGATCAGTGTAGTTGTTGGAACGAGGTGTCGGACTCAGCAATGTATTTGTTTACATTTTAATACATGTTTATTGTTCCTCCTTTGCTGTGTTGTTTTAGAAAATCGTGGACTAACAGTTTGAAGGTTGGGGAAATCTGAAATATCTGAAAGGCACGACTCATGCATAACCTTCCTAGGGGCTCCCGTAAGAAGACCATAGATCTGTGGGAAGCACCCTAGTAAAAAAAATTCACGGTTCGCGTGAGACTCTGCTGGAAGCCGGGCTTTCCGCATCCGTAGGAACGCCACCACCCTTCAAGGATCAAGGCGCAGCCTAGTAAAATAGAAGTAAATAATAATAATAAGAAAGGTTTGCTCCCCACACCGGAGCTCGCGCTATTCCGCCGACTTTACTTGACACTTGACTGACTCACGACTGCCATCCAGAGCACACGAGAAGTCCATCGAACCTTCGACTCGGCAAACCTGCAAGAAAGCACCACTCCCTGCTCAATACACAGTGTTTCGGGGAATTCATCCCTCATCAGTTGAGCTTGAGTAGGCTGAGGAAGATTGTGCCTGAAGAGCACTACTTATATAGTGCTCTCCAGGCACAAACATCACCAGGGATACAAACTTTAATACAGAGACGCTCCGCTTCCAGCGCGACAAACACCTCGTGAACACCAGATAGTAGCGTGAGTCAGTGTCGCTCCTGGACGGTGAGACAGACGTCGAGGACCCTCGGTCATTCGCAACGCTGTCACCTCCAAACCAACTAGTCGCAAGCCCGCGCTGGGCACAACAGTACGAAGTAATGGTTGCGACTTCGGCGATGATTTGTAAGAAAGGTTTGCTCCCCACACCGGAGCGTCTCTGTATTAAAGTTTGTATCCCTGGTGATGTTTGTGCCTGGAGAGCACTATATAAGTAGTGCTCTTCAGGCACAATCTTCCTCAGCCTACTCAAGCTCAACTGATGAGGGGTGAATTCCCCGAAACACTGTGTATTGAGCAGGGAGTGGTGCTTTCTTGCAGGTTTGCCGAGTCGAAGGTTCGATGGACTTCTCGTGTGCTCTGGATGGCAGTCGTGAGTCAGTCAAGTGTCAAGTAAAGTCGGCGGAATAGCGCGAGCTCCGGTGTGGGGAGCAAACCTTTCTTACAAATCATCGCCGAAGTCGCAACCACTACTTCGTAATAATAATAAGACAAATTTATGACAGAGTCATGAAATTCTGCAACAGCAACATGCACAGAGTGAACTCCGTATAAAAAAGTATAACCACCACTACTCACATGTTCCCCCGCAGGAGAACATGCATTATCATGCTAGTGCCATTTTCTGCCAGAAAAGGCTTGCACATCAATGCGTATAATACGGTATTGATATGATCAAGAGTGCATAAACCTCTTGATATGATGTGAAGGCCATCATTTACATAATTATTGATACAGGCAAGAGTACATAACCCCGGGGTTATGTACTCTTGATATAGGGCATTCCATTGATTGGTGACAGAAAAAACAAAAGAAATTATAGCAATAAAAACTGCTTTATGGCAGTTTTCTAAAAAAAGTTATTGTGTTCTAGTCCATGGACCCCGTCCAAAAAGTAAGAAATTACCGAAATGTGATAGCTGGAAATTAAAATTTCACACAAAACCTCACAATAATCACACACAGAATTAAAAGCTACTGTACATGTAGAAGACCTTTTCCCCTCGTGATCCTCTTTCCTATGCATGCATGTTGCCAATTGTTGGTGCAGTACAAGTTAAAGTTGAAAGCAGCATTTCAAGTGTTGTGATCATTGTGAGGTTTTGGGTGAAATTTTAATTTCCAGCTATCACATTTCGGTAATTTCTTACTTTTTGGACGGGGTCCATGGACTAGAACACAATAACTTTTTTTAGAAAACTGCCATAAAGCAGTTTTTATTGCTATAATCTGAATGGTGATGTACATGTACACGTGATAGGTACGTGACAAGTGTGATCTAGCGCATGCTAGCCTATAGAATATAAAAAATTAAATAAAATATCTCTGCACTGCACGCTGCGCGAAGTGCATGACTTGTAGAGGAGACGGCTCGATACCGGAACGTTTTGACAGCCAAATTTGTATAGACCCAAAACGATCATCAACGTTGATTTTTCACTCGAAATATGTTTGTGGAAGGAAACTGGCATGTTGAAGTTTGCTCTGGGGCCAGAGTCAATCGAACTGAGCCACTCCTTTGTGTTGACCCATTGCCTCCAAGTTGCCCAATTTTTCGCTTCAAAAAAGTTCAAATCAGAGGTGGCTCCAAACCGGACACGTTTTAGAGTGCCCGTCAAATTCACTCTGGGTCTGAAATTAGGTAATTGCTATCGCTCCACGACGGCCAGTACAGAGTAACAATAAGCCTTGTGTGTGCTTCCATTAGTTTTGATTGGTATGCGGTGCTTTATTGTCGAGAGGCGAGCCGCTGTTTACCTGCGACAAGAAGTTGATTTTTCGAAAGTCGTAAAACTCAAGTCGCAGTGCGAAGCAACACGTCAAAAACTCACCTGCTTGATATGGCGCTTCTGGTCATCGCAGAGCCATGAAATTTTGGCTCGGAGTATAACACATCGTAGTCTCACTGTGACATATGTTTTCTAATCAAAATACCAAGAGAGAAAGTGAATATTGAGTCCGTTCCGGTTTGCAACCTATTTCCTATTTGAAACCGTCGCCTCTACACGATATCACAGTCATCATGTCAGAGCGGGTTTTGCTCATACTGCACGTCACGTCAACAAACCTCGTTTCCTGTTCTGAAGTGAAGGTTCTGAAGTGGCTAAAAAAACATTACCAGCTGACTTCGCACTCCAGCTCGTATGAAAGACTTCGCTGCTTGTATTCCTTCAAACATTATCATCTATCGAGTTGACCGAGCTAGCTGGACGGTTCTGGAGCTCCAAGTTCTGGAAGTGCTTCATTCCCAAATTCAGGCGAACTCGTTCCTGCAGCCAGTGTCAGTTGGGTGAACCACTGTCAATCATGTCGCGAGGTGTCTCTCTGCTGACCTCGCTGCTCTGTTCGCTATGCTTGTTGGCGATGACGCAGTGGCGGAGCACCGCCGGGTACTCGCGCAACCTGAAGTACATTCCCAACGTCGGAGAGCATAAGGGAGACCACTCCTACGTCCCGGCGCCGTTCGGTGTGGCCAACAGGTAAGGCCGGCCGGTTCTTGCTCGCGTCCTTGGCAGGTGACACTGTACTGGGACTGTAATTGTACAAAACTTCGGCATTTCACGATTTTCGGCAATGATTACTAATTTTTGGTTTTCGGCATGGGGTATTAATACAGTCCGACAGTCGTCCCTCTCTAATCCGGAACCTTTTGCTACGGCATTTTCTGCTGGATTAACGAGGGTGCTGGATTAAGAAATCCTGCCCTCTGACCCGGCCCTACCCAATTGCATGCATGTATCATAATATGTATGTCAAAACGCAGGGTTTTTCCGTGTCGACCCAAGTATTTGGTGCACGGCTTTATATTCTCAATTGTTCTCCGGGAATATACACAGTGATAAAGTAAAACAGAGAACATGTTCACATGTACTCTTGCACACACACGCACACACACACACACACACACACACACACACACACACACACACACACACACACACACACGCACACGCACACACACACACACACACACACACACACACACACACACACCTGAAAATAGGCAGGACACTACTCCTTGCTAAATAAAAAAAAAAAAAGTATGGTTGACTGCCGTTGTCTCCTGGACAAGCCTAGCCTGGCCTGGCAAGGAGTGCACCTGTACGGTACGCGATTTACGACTGCCGGATTATGAAATCAAACTACGTGCAGTTTGAGCGATTCGTTTCAAAAAGTCACTGCCGGAGGCAGAATTCAAGTGCCGGATTAAGATGTAGGAATTGAACGAAAAAAATCGGTTTCGTCAGAAAGTGCGCCGGTTGGCAAGGGTTCCGGATAAACAAATGCCGGATTAGAGAGGGACGACTGTACTAGCAAGAGTACATCGCCAAAGCCGAATACTACTCCAAAACCGGAAAACTTCAGTGGAGACTATTTTTGGTGCAGGTGATTTTCACCTGAAATAAAACGTGACTTAAAATTCAACAATGCCATGCCACACAGTGTGCAAAATGCATTTTTGGATCTGAAAAACTGGTTTACCGAAAATTTTGCACTACCGAACCGTTGATTTTTGGGAATACGGAAAATATCACACCACCGAAAATTCCCGGTTTCCCAGTATGTACTCTTCCGTGTATCCCTTGGGCTTGGGGCTGGTGTGGAGTGCCGGAAAAAACAACTTGAATAAGTAGTAGTGTAGTACTGTGCAAGCACTGGTCCACAACTGTAGCCTCAATGCAAACTAGAATAATCATGTAAAAAGGCGACTTGGAGACAATAATCTTGATAATGCAATGAATAAGACTATAATATTATGTGCACTCATATCACAACCGTAGGGACAAATTAGTATTCAGAACGTTTTCTTGTCACAATTATCAATGGAATTTGCGACTAAAGACTAAATGACTAAGCGACTATTAAAATGGTTGTGATATGAGTGCACATAGAGTTTTATTCATTGCAAACTAGAACAGTTACTGTTTGTACAGCTTGCAGCCCACTGGATGCAAACGTTCCGTTTCGAATCTTCATGTAATCTAGCCACTGTTTGCCGCTCAGTATTACACGCTCATTGGTTTCCGCTCCCTGCCTGCGTTCCGTACAAAGCAAGGGGGTCGGAGGACACGTTGAATTCACACCGGTGTTGACTTTCTCGCTTCTTTTCGCTGGAACTGCAAGTCTACAAATTGTCGGCCTATTCAAATTTCGGCCTCCCAGGGCTAAAACGCATTTCGGCTGCAACAATTTTTTGGCCTGCACTGCTGCTGCCTGTGTGCACTGTCACATTGAACATTTTAAAATAAATGAATAAATGCCGCGGACACAGCAATTATATTTAAAACACTGAACCTTGCAAAGCAAAATTTCGGCGGCAACAAATGTTCGGCCAAATATGATCAGGTCGAAAATAGCTGAAATTAGATATGCGCCGAATGTTTGTTGATTTACAGTGCCCATTGTTTAAAAATGGAAGTATCCGTGGGAAGAAGCTGCAGTTATCGTCCACCCTCACTGTGATGCAATGTATTAACCTAAAGTCACATGACCTCATCAGGGAAGTGTGTTTCAATGAGTCGTAAGAATCTTTGCCCGCTGTTCGTGGCTACTGTCTTACTGTAATTGAAAGGTGGGTTATACGGAAGCGGAAAGGTGGTTCTTGACCAGGGAGTTGTACGACTCCTTGTTCTTGACCTGCCCGGTAAGCGAACCCGTCGAATTTTTTTAATTTTTTTATTATTCAAATAATCTACGTGGAGACAAGAGAGCTTGGAAGCTCAGGGCCCTACGCTATGCTTTTTTGCCTTGATGACCTAGACAAAAAAAGCATAGGGATGCTATAAATTCTTTAAAAAATTCCTTTTTTTTTAGACCTAACCTGGGATTCGAACCCGCACTATCGCGCGCCCTGCATGCAATCCCCGATACACTTCGCATACATACTAATTCTATATATGCTGTTTGCATTATGCAGAGCTCACTGACTTGTCAGTTTGAGCACTCTGGCAAGGTACGTTCGGGCCTGATTGGAAATTTTTATTTCCATTGCTATCAGGTTCGGCCTCATTTCCTCTGTGCTGCGCTGATGAGTCCACAAAGGACGAAACAGTTCTGTCCGCAGATTGAGTATTTCGCTCCTGCTCTTGTAGCAGTTGAGCACTCTTGCGTGGGGTAGTGCCTTTGCTGTTTGCATTATGCAGAGCTCACTGACTTGTCAGTTTGAGCACTCTGGCAAGGTACGTTCGGGCCTGATTGGAAATTTTTATTTCCATTGCTATCAGGTTCGGCCTCATTTCCTCTGTGCTGCGCTGATGAGTCCACAAAGGACGAAACAGTTCTGTCCGCAGATTGAGTATTTCGCTCCTGCTCTTGTAGCAGTTGAGCACTCTTGCGTGGGGTAGTGCCTTTGCTGTTTGCATTATGCAGAGCTCACTGACTTGTCAGTTTGAGCACTCTGGCAAGGTACGTTCGGGCCTGATTGGAAATTTTTATTTCCATTGCTATCAGGTTCGGCCTCATTTCCTCTGTGCTGCGCTGATGAGTCCACAAAGGACGAAACAGTTCTGTCCGCAGATTGAGTACTAATTCTATATATATATTTATTTCACTCAACTCGTGGTTCATGACCAATTGGCACGCAAAGTGCGAGAGAGGGGTGATAGCCAACCACGGCAAGAAAAGAAAAGAAAGGAATATAGAAAAAGAGAAGAAAGAAGGATAGACAAGAATACAGCAATGAGATCCTATCGTACTACATTATGCGATCGGAGTGCATTTTTAAAGCTGGAAAGACATTTTGATGTCTTAACATGCTGGGGAAGTTGCAGCCAAAGGCTGTAGGACAAAAACAGAGGAGAGCTGGTAAATGCGGCTGAATTAGCACAGGGAAGTGAGAGACTATTACGAGTGGACCGGGACAGAGAAAACCAATTGAATACGGAGAGATGAATGGGAATTTTACCTAGGCGAATTCTGTGGATCAAAACGCAAAGCTGCTGTTTGCGATTATCTTGCAGTGGCTGAGTATTGCTGATACAATAGAGCTCAAGACTAGGAAATAAACGCTGCTTGTTAAACAATATTTTAAGAAGAGATTTATGTTGGATTTCAAGTTTGTTCACAAGATGTTGACTTAGACTACACCAAGACTGACATGCATACTGGAAAATAGGTAATAGATACGAGCGATAAAACATAGAACGGCATTCTTCCAAGTTGCTTCACGTTATGATCTTGCATTTGAAAGCCCTATTTGAATATGCATTGTGGCCAGCCGTCTTTGATGGTACGCTACGGTACGGGATAGGTACGGGACAGGTACAATCGAGGGTAATACGACACCGTCTACCGCCTTGATGACGGCAAAAAAAGCATACTTGTAGGGATGTTATAAATTTTTCAATTCTCCTATTTTTTTTCAGGCATATCCTGGGATTCGAAACCGCATTATCGCCCTACATGCATTCCCCCATACACTTCGCATTCATACCCATTCTTCCAAGTTGCTTCACGTTATGATCTTGCGTTTGAAAGCCCTATTTGAGTATTGCGCCAGCTGTATGTGGCCAGCTGTGTTTGATGGTACGGTACGGGTACGGGACAGATACGGGATAGCGCCAGGCGCGACACAAACAAACAAACAAACACACAAATACCAAATTAAAGCTGTGTGGACCCTGGCTAGCGCCAGACGTTACTGAAGTAACGTCTTCTGCATAGCTACGGGAATACAAGTTTAATAATAGCTATGAATGCCGCAGAAATCACCACGCAACATGACAATTAGTTCAAGGTTTGGTTTTGTGTGTTTCCAAAATCGATTTTCACGCTCCGATCATCAGTGGAAATACGGAACTGAAGAGATCAAGGGAAAAACAAAGGTTAAAAATCCAAAGAAGTGTGACACATGACGGGTAACTTGTGGTAAGTATTACAAAAAGTGAGAACTAAAATAAAATAAAGAGTAAGTGTGACAAACGGGCATGAACAGTGCAGAAACAACTCATGAACACGGGGTGCAAACTCACGAAAATAACCTAAGTGCTAAAACATGTTCTTTTTGCTTATTATTGCTTTTTGCTTATTATTATCATTTTTTTATACCAGATAGTATTGCACTGCCTGTTTTTCTATTTCTTGATTGCATCTTTCTCTCTCTCTATCTCCCATGTACTCTAGTCCTTCAGTGTATCTGTCCCGCGCACTGATTTGAGAATTTGCGCAATCTGAGAATTCCCCCAGAATGCGCAAGCAATCTGCAGATTGTGCAGGCATGCTAGCATATTCTGGGAACTTTCAGATTGCGCCTCGCACGGATTCGCTGTGCTCTTCATGTTTTTTCAACGAAATTCACAGACTGTGCCCACAGATTGTATATCACGGCCACATGGATTCGCTGTGCTCTTCATGTTTTTCAGAGACGTTTGCAGATAGCGCTCCATAAGGATTCGCTGTGCTCTTCATGATTTTCAACGAAATCCACAGATTGCACCCCACATAAATTTGTTGTGCTCTTCAGGTTTTCAACGAAATGCACAGATTGCGCCCACAGATTGCGCCCCACATGAATTTGCTGTGCTCTTTATGGTTTTCAACGAAATCCACAGCTGGCACGAACCACATTTTCTTTGCCGATAAACTCAAAAATGCAGTCAAACTTACTCCAAAAGATGTCCCCACCCTAGCGACCTTGAACAATAAAAACACTGATCAGACAGCGTCAGATGCTGTCTGATTCTGTCTGGTGGTTTTGACATGGAACCGTGCATAACGGCGGAGAAGGACTTGGTTGTGTCATTGTTTTGTGAATATTGTATTGCAGGCTCTGGTCCACTGGACATAGAGAGCACTATATGCAGCCTGATGGTCTCGCACAACTGTCTATTGTTGATGGCTGCATGTTCATACAGGACATGCCAGTCAATCGGTCATATCGACAGCTGCGATGGCAACCCAGATCATGGTGGTAAGTACAGGGGAACTCTGATAGGGGAACTCTGATAGGGGAACTCTGATAGGGGAACTCTGATAGGGGAACTCTGATAGGGGAACTCTGATAGGGGAACTCTGATAGGGGAACTCTGATAGGGGAACTCTGATAGGGGAACTCTGAGATAATTATAGCAATAAAAACTGCTTTATGGCAGTTTTCTAAAAAAGTTATTGTGTTCTAGTCCATGGACCCCGTCTAAAAAGTAAGAAATTAACGAAATGTGATAGCCGAAAATTAAAATTTCACACAAAACCTCACAATAATCACACACAGAATGAAAAGCTACATGTAAAAGACCTTTTCCCCTCGTGATCCTCAGCATTTTTACCTCACAATAATCACTGTGACACAACACTTGAAATGCTGCTTTCAACACTTGTAGTACTGCACCAACAATTGGCAACATGCATGTTATGCATGCATAGCCATAGGAAAGAGGATCACGAGGGGAAAAGGTCTTTTACATGTAGCTTTTCATTCTGTGTGTGATTATTGTGAGGTTTTGTGTGAAATTTTAATTTTCGGCTATCACATTTCGTTAATTTCTTACTTTTTAGACGGGGTCCATGGACTAGAACACAATAACTGTTTTAGAAAACTGCCATAAAGCAGTTTTTATTGCTATAATTTATTTTGTTTTTTCTGTCACCAATCAATGGAATGCCCTATATTACAAATACTATATCAATATTAGGGCTGAAACAATTATACCGATAACTCGCATATCGATCGTTAAGAGTGCAATCGATAATCGTTAGTGTTTAAAACGAGTGCTAACGATTTTTTATGCATGCATACCAGTGACAGTGTTCTAGCCCTTGCACTCCATCCGATAGTGGATATGAGTGCAACCATGTACTTTCAAGTGCAGTAAAATTGATTTGTGGCTTTAAAAGAGATCTGGAGAGAAGACTTTGCCTTTTCGGTTCATTTGTGGGAGAAGTTGGAGATGAGAAAAGTTGCCAGAGGGTGATGACAAGATTCTTCGCTCTAGAAACAACATGAAATTCTCTACTTGAGTACTAATAGTTCATGTTCGATAGAGCTGACAAGAATCGATAAAACCAATATATCGATCGTTAATGATATTAGTTGATCGTTAGGAGTTATTGAATGATCGTTTCAGCCCTAATCAATATGTAAATTTAAACTAAATGATGGCCTTCACATCATATCAAGAGCACATAAAGGGTTTATGTACATATCAATACCGTATTATACGCATTGATGTGCAAGCCTTTTCTTGCAGAAAATGGCATAATGCATGTTCTTCTGCGGGGAACCATGTGAGTATGTAGTGGTGGACCGTGGTGATACTTTTTTATACGGAGGTCATTCTGTGCATGTTGCTGTAGCAGAATTTCATGACTGTCATAAAATTGTCTTGCCTTTCAGATATTTCAGATTTCCCCACCCTCGATCAGATTTATTTGAGAAATGTAACCAGGTGCGTGTCGCAGATGTTTTTGTTGATTCTGTGTTTATAATGGTTTATAATCATGGGTTTTCGTGATAAGGTCATTCTGCATCATATTGCACTGAAATTGTAATCCTGTTGATGTCGATACAACTTTTGGAAGTAGTTCAATGACTTCAAACTGTTAGTCCACGATTTTCTAAAACAACACAGCAAAGGAGGAACAATAAATATGACTGTATTAAAATGTAAACAAATACATTGCTGAGTCCGACACCTCGTTCCAACAACTAGTCGAACCTCTTTAGGACGAACACCAAGGGACCGATGGTATCTATTCTGTGAGTTTGTCTTAACCTATTTATAACTAATGAATACAATTATTTCTCCAATAGACATACGAATAGATTTCATCTACAGCGAAAGATTCTAAGCCAGACCAACTCATTGACTCGTCTCGTATGAAACAAATGAGTCTGAACCTTTCTTTAGAAACATGACGGCAACTGAAAAAGCAACAGAGAAAGTACGATACATGTACAGCACATTCTTGCAGGTACATGTACTACAAACAGATTGCAGATCGTAATTCTTGCTTTGGCGGCACGAAACTTTATTTGGGGCAGTGCAATCTCGGCGGTACTCACAAATCAAACAGCCCAGACTCAAGTAAACAAATCCAATCATACAAGTACAAGATCTTCACGAGACGAGACTGCACCCATTGGCTTGTTTCGTATGAAGCAAACAAATTACTGATCCTCTCCACAATGGAGATTTTCCCTGATATGCGAATTTATTTTGCAAACTCGGTCAATGGGTCCTTGAACCTTTCCCTCCAGATTGGGAACTGCCAACGATAGTATGCCACTGACCAGTGCCTTACTTGTAACGTACCAATGTACAATGAATATGAGTATTTCGACAACACATCTTAAAAGCCTTACCGTCAAGAAGGTGAACTCGCCGCACGGTTCTTCGCACACTATAGACAAGGGCAAAGAGATAAAAATGGATCTAAATCCGAATAAAATCAGCACACGTTTCCGTGAATGAAAGGGTGAGCATAAGCAAAATGAATCGAAGGAAACAAAGAGATCCTGTCAGCTTTTCCATTATTAATTTTATTGCATTCCGCCTAAAATCAGCACACTTTTCGTAAATGAAAGAGTCAACACAAGCAAATGAATCAAAGGGAACTGGTCAACTCACCTGTCATTGAGTAATATTCCGCGAAAGGAGGTCTCAGCAGCGCCGAAACGAAATAAGCCAGGCCAGGAGACGAAATATCCGAAACAGCTCATACAAGAAGCAGTTCCAAAGAAGGAAGTTAGTTCCTCGCGCATGCACATCCGAACGTTCGAACACGGACTGCACTGCAACACAATGTCTGCCGTGCGCGTGCACCGCACGCGGCTACCACCCGTTGGTAGATCTAATACCGAGCACCTTACGTAGAGACTTACGTAGCCTAAGTGAAATACCGAGCACCTTACGTAGAAACTTACGTAGCATAGCGGTGTCGTTTTTCTTGCCATGTGAACACAATAATAGAAAAGCTGACAGGATCGCTTTTCTAAATACTGTAAGTCTACCAAATTTTGGCGCATTTAAATTTCGGCCCCACAGGGCAAAAATACATTTCGGCCACATTACAATGTTAGCCTATACTGCTGTTGCCCGTCAACAATGTCACACTGAAGCTTGCAAAACAAAATTTCGGCCACAACAAATATTAGGTCAAAACTGCCCAGGCCGAAAATACAGTCAACTTTGCGTATAACGACACTTGGCGGGGCATCAGAAAAGTGTCCTTGTTCGCGAAGTGTCGTTACACCCAAAGTCTCATTGCACGCATTACAGTTAGATGGGACTTTGCTCTGGGCTTGGAAATGCTGTCGTTATTCACGAATTGTCGTTATATCCGCAGTCGTAACAAGTTAGCGAAGTTGACTGTAGCCGAAACCAGATATGCACTGAGTATTTGTTGCCTTACAGTAGCCTACATTTAAAAAAAGGGTATTTGTTCCCGCTATGTCTATGCCGTTCCCTCCATCTCTATGGTTTACCATCTATGGTTCTCTTTGTGTCTATCTGCAGGCAATCATTTTGGCCATGAGTTCAATTCGGCCTTCAAGCGACATCCCGACACTTGGCAGAGGGAGTTCTGCTTGAAGGACAGTGACGGAGACGGTTTCTCGAATGGCTATGAGCTCGGCGACCCTGAGTGCGTGTGGAAGCCCGGTGCACATCCAATGAGGGTGTCTGGTCTCTCTCATCCTGGTAAGTATGCTGTACTGTGCTCTATCAGGGGTGTCGGAACTGCTGTGGCAGGTGCGGCCAAAGCTGCACCAATAATTCCATGTTGAACTCCGAAAGTGAGCCAATTGAATATGGTAAAAGAAAAAAGGAGAAGGTCAAAATGTTACTAGTATGACTAACTAAATAATATGATCTGGGTACGTTAGTGGAGAGTTAGTGATGACTCGTAAAATTTTGTCCTTCTCCTTTCTTTACAATAATTCTATCCTGTGATTTGGAAGCAATGAGATATGAGCTGTTTGGTCCCGATTTTCCTGAAAATTCCAGATGAGGGCCCCTGGTCCCCTGCGTTTCCATAACCGCACCAATGTAGAGTGCCTTCCGACGCCCTTGGGTCCCACCACATCATCACTCACCATATCACTGCTTTGCCTTTGCAGTCGCCCCCCTCCCCCTTCCAGGCCTTGCCTGGTGTAGATGCGGGTTTA